TGGCCAATGATCGCGAGGGATGTGATACATTTCTGGATGCGCAAATTAATGGATTTGGTACGTAAACTTCAATTATAGGTCAATTATAGGGCTTTCATCAGGTTAGGTTATTCAAAAGTAGTTTACCGTAATCTTAGATCACTCCAAGAGCAGGTTAATCGAAGAATAGTTGACTCCAAGAGTAATGATAGTGGTAGTCGATCAAAAGTTAGTTTCACAAGTAGTTCATTATTATAGTATTCCACTTTAATAATAGTTCACTCCAAAAAGATTTTGTTGCAAGAATTGTTGACTCCAAGTATAGTTAATTCGATCCATGAGTAGTTCACTGCAAGAATAGTTCTAATAGTTCTAAGAGTATTTTATGTCTAAAGACTTTTATAATGAAAATAGTTCTCTCCAAGATGAATTTATTTCGAGAATAGTTGGCTCCAAGAATTAGTGACCACAAGAAAAGTTCACTGAAGGAATAGTTCACTACTAAAGCTCACTCCATTAAAGGTTGACGACAAGAATAATTTACTCCAAGATTAGTTCACTTCAAGAGAAGTACTCTACAGGATTAGTTCACTGAAAAGTAGTTCACTGCTAGCGACATATTCTTCAATAGTTCTTTATACAAAAAGTTCATTTTCAGAAAAGTTTACTGAAAGTTCAATTCATTACGACCTAAAAGTAATGCATTTAAAAAATAGTCTCTTCGCACTGAGAGTTTTAAGCATATCTTCAAAATAGTTCATGATAATGATATTTAACTTTACTTTTGAAACTTCTCTCCCGATTCAGTCGGTCAATGTTAATTCTCTTAAAAGCATTCCCTTCGTTTACGAATATGCGAGTTCAAAATAGTCTACCGTATCTCTTGATACCCCTTGGCTTATCAGTTGTATGCTCAGACTGAATAAATATTTATTTATCCCAAACTATATTATCTCTGTTCAGAAATATTTATTTATTAGCAGGTGCATTATCTCTTAGTTTGTTCAAATAAATGGTAGATTTGTCACTGCTGTGCCGACAAAGCTATCTGTGTCTGTGTGAATTATTTATATATTCTATAAATTTTCCCAGGTATTCCCTACACTCATATGGCCAGTCCCATGCCCAGTGAGTTTCGCAAGGCGAAGCCAGCGCCGCGGGGCGTGGCCAATCGGCGTGCAGCTCTCCAATGGCTGCATCAGCATAATCTAACCAACGGTGTGCTCTACTTTGGTGACGATGACAATACGTACGATCTAAGATTATTCTCGGAAATTAGGCACACCCAGCGTGTCTCAATGTTTCCCGTAGGACTGATAGCAGAATATGCAATCAGTGGGCCGGTAGTGCGAGAGGTAAGTAAATATCAGATAATTCGAATCCCAATCTATCCATCATAAATTAATCTATATTTTTTCGATTTGTCAGGGCAAAGTTGTGGCCTTTCTAGACTCTTGGGTGGCGGGTCGACGCTGGCCTGTCGACATGGCTGGCTTCGCTGTGAGTCTGTCGTATATGGCGCAGTATCCGAATGTCAATATGCCCTACAAGCCGGGCTATGAGGAGGATTTGTTTTTACGTAGCATTGGACTACACATCGATCAGATCGAACCGCGTGGCAACAACTGCACCGAGATCCTTGTGTGGCATACGCAGACGAAAAACAAAAAATCCGCTGTGGTGCGTCTGGAGAACAGATACATGGATGAACGTTCCAATTTGGGTGCACTCTTTCGATTACTTGAGCGAATGGGCGTGGCAAGAGCTTCGGAAAGCGAAGGTGTGTATTAATATAATTTGTAAATTATTACAGATAATCTCTGAACCCGCCGTTCGCTTTTTCTTCCCAATCAGGCCTCGTCGCAACGATCAGTAAAAATGGCAAGAGTAAAAGTCACGCATATTTCCTGAGCTGAGCTCCCCCAGCGGAAGCTCTCAGAGCCTAAGCCAACTTTTCAACCGTCGTACTATAAAGATCTAAGAATACTCATAGCTATAAAATAAATTTTCGGTTCAATATTGTTGGTATTTGTTCAAATTAGAGACTATATACATATATAAGCAGGAAAAAGCACAATTTGTAAAAGCCTAGTTTAAAAATTATTTCCATTGTATATTTCCTTGTTGTTAATTATAACAGGTCTCCATTTCGGTTCTCATATAAATTATAAAAAAGCGTAAGAATGATTTAAATACAAATCGTAGTCATATTGTTAATTAGTTGTAATTGAACGCTTATGTTTATCGTAAATTCCTTATAGACTACGCCATTATATCATATAAAGTTCAAAGACAATTGTTTAATTTAGTTAGCTAAACATATTTCTGTTGTTGTTGTTCCAGCTAGGAGGTTGTATAAATCAAGCTTGAAAAGCTGCAATTACAAAGACGTTTGCAAATCGACAAAACAAATATCATTTGGAATAAAATAATTATAAATACATTTATATAATTTCATCAAGAAGAAAGCACAGACTATTAAATTTAATGATTTAGCTTCTAATCGCAAAATGGTTTTTTTAATGGGTACAAAAATTAATATTAAATAGAATTCAAAAGCATATGCAGCTCAATATTGAAAATTTGTTTCAATAGCTTGCTATCATATCATTAATTTTATTGATTGTAAATAATAAAAGTAAATTAACATAAGCCCATTAAATACAACAACGAATACTAGTTTACCAAATTAAATATATATTAAAAAGATTCATGCAACATTTTTATTTTAAGTTGAAGGCCTGTTGGTACAGTTGATATTAATATTTATGGAATTGCATAGTTAGAGAAGCTAAATTGAAATTGCGGCCATCAGTTATACGCTGATCATTTGTCTTAAGCATAGAATTATCGAAATGTAAGCAAAAATGCAGCTTTAATTTTGAATACATAAGGCAACGATGCACACACAATAGAAATTGGACTTGAATCAGGGAACATTGTTAAAACGAACGTTTCAATAATGAGCCAAGTAAATGATACTACATTTTACTCATGATAAAGATAACATTAATA